TTGAAATAGATACTGGGAAAAAAAAATCTGCTATTTTAGTAATATAACTTTACTGAATGTATTTCTGATTAAAAATTTTGTCCCTTGAATAGCTGGAATATGTCAAGTGGTTGTGTCATTATCTGATATTATTTAATAGCCTCAATTGGAGTCTTATTGATGGCCAAATAGCGATAAGAAATCCTTTTCTTGTTTCAGAGCAATGGGGACATGCTCTGCTGGTTCATGTTTTCCAGTTGTTGAGAGATATCTGTGATTGATGTTGATGTAAATAAAAAGGAAGGTTTTCTTATGGTGTTTTCCTCTTTTAGTTAGAATACAGTTTGGAGAACAGAGGTTACATGTCTGGAAGGGAGACAGATACAATGCTGCAGATCATTGCCAAGAGGGTGTGATGTACTGTGCTCACATTTCTCCTCTGCATTGGCTCCAGGTTTGGCTTAAACAAGTGTCAGGAAGAAACAGGCTGCTGGGTAGGCTACTGCAGAGCAGCAAAGCCTTTCGTGTGAAGGACTCCACGAGTCCAGAGTGAGGCTGTGAATGAAGATGACTGAAACCTGTATGGTTTCTGCCTCAAATTCAGTTGCAGATTGATGTAAAATTGAAGTACGGCAGGGGAAAACACAATGCCTGTTGCCCATGCTACTGTTAGAGCACAAACTTTGATCTGTCCTCACAAAATATCTAAACTGCTCTAAAATTGAGTCTAAATGTCACTTTCTCTGTGCTCTTCTCCTTTCCCCTAATGAAATAGTGCTTGTTGGTTTTTCCCCTAACCGAGTTTTTCAGGAGATTAGATTCAACACAATATGGAATCATGTTAGCTGTCAAATCTGCTAAATGAGAAGACATCTGTTTTCTGAAAAAATAAATAATGTCCTCCAGACATCCTTCAAGGTTTGGAGAGGGTATTTTCTCATTGCATAGAAGGTAAGCTTCAATTTGAATCAGTACTTAGTGTTCGGTGGAAAGGAACCTGGAGGCATGCAAGTTATTGATAAATGGTTTTAAATGTCTTTGTTTAAACTGTTGTGTTATTTATATCTCTGAGTCCCCTGGGAGCAGTAAATTGTCACGCTTGGTTTCAGTGTTAGTAGTTCTGCTATCAAGTCTAGTGAATTTGGTTGTGTGGGTCCTAAAACATATTTAAAAGCCTTCACACCGTCGTGTGGTGCTGCTTAGAGTCTTTGTCAGAAGATTTTCTGGTTAGAGTTGGCGTTATAATTGTAAAAGAGAAGAACTTAATGCTGACTGCATGGGAAGCTGCGATGAAGTGGCAGACTTGCAGCTCAAGTTTCTGACAGGCAGAAGATGTCTGCATTGAGGGGGGGAAAAAAGCAAATGCTGCTTTTGTCACAGTGGGTTTGGGACATGCCAGATCATAGAGTCTAAGGCCTTACATAACCAAGAGGCCAAAATATGAGGATCACTAATTCTGTAGTGCTTGTGTGCTGCTGGATAAATGCCTCATGAAGCCTTCTTTCCCTCTGACTTGATAAGCAAACAAAATATATTTTCCATCCTTAATAGCTGACAATTTACCTTCAGAGGAAAGAGGAAATTAAAATTTAAAGGAACCCCAAATGAGTTGACTCTCTTGCTAGCATCCTGTTTCTTTAGGCTTTGCTCCAGTGCTTGCATTATCTGTGCTGTGTAACACTGTTTTCCCTTGGAATTTGGTTACTTCTATATTCTTCTCTCTTCTTAAAAATGTGACCTTTGACTTTTGAGCTTTCATAACTGCTATTAATTTGTTCAATAATGAAAAAATAATAGAAAGGGCAAAAATTATGGTCTGGTCTGTCTGACTTCAGCTTTTGAACCTGCTATTATTTTCTGTGGAAGTTTTCCATCCCCCCCTTCCCACCTTGGGGATGCCAACTGCTGCCTGGAGGACAGCTGCTGTGAGCGCGTGTTTCCTCATCTGTGCATCAGCTACAGCTTCATGCAGAGGCAGACGGGCTTCCTCTTGTTCCTTATCAGGCCTTGGTGTCCTGCCCTGCTGCTGGCTTTCTGACCTGCTGTTTGTATTCAGTAGGCACATCTCTGGCTCAGCCTCCCACACCTTGCTGTGCAGGCAGCTGCCCCTGTTTGCTTTCCCCCCAGGGCTGTGACTGGGGTGCAGCTTCATTATTCAGAGCCTCAGACATGGGTGATGCACTGCGACAACCCTGTGATCAATGCTGGCCCTGAACTACCTTGTGTTTTCTTGTACCTTTTGCAGTTCTGGAGCTAAGATACTTTGAAACTCTGAGTAACTGAGTGATGAGAGGTTGCCCCCCGCCCCCCCCCCCTTTCCTCTCCAGTCCTTTGCAAGGAATTTCACTCTGTTTCTTCAGTGCAGTTATCTTAAGTGGAATCTGGACCAGACTCTGTCCCAGGTGCCCCCTGTCAGAGACACCTTCTGTTGTTATGTGGCCTGAAGCAAATAATATAGGAGAAGGCTTGAGGCCAGAAGATTTCTTTCCTCTCAGCACAGCCATATGTACTGTGAAAGCATCTTTCCAGCACCTAATACTTGGATGATTTTCCTCCTTAATGCCTGAAAGCTTTGCTCACCTTGCTGGCTGCCTGAACTCAAACTGCCTGCCTCTCCTTCCAAGACGACAGCCAGGAAATTATTACAGCACAATTTAAGGACCATAAAATATAGGATGAGCAGATGGCAGGTCACTTTACCTTCCCATGAACAGTCTATGTCACCGTGGCACTGCTTTAGCATATGCTGAGCCACACTTGCAGCCTGAGCAGGAGCTGTCTCTGGAGGAGATGTCTGTCAGAGCAGCAGCCCAGCAGCGCAGACCTTACGACTGTGGCAAGGAATCTGGGCACTGCTGAGGAGCTTTAGCAACAAAGAGCTTTAAATACCTGCTGCTAAAATAATCATGATAATCTGTCCACCAGCTTTTTCCTAATGTGCATTTTCTAATTTGTTGTGGGAGGTAAAATCGTTTGACCAGTGGAATGAAGATGTGACACTGTGGCCGTAATTTAAATTATTAAACAACTGGAAGAGCAGCTATCAAACAGCAGAAATCCTACCCAGAGAAGAATGGCAGCCTTCACAGATTAATTTAAAAAAAAAAAAAAAATTGGAATATAGTTCTTCATAGAAGGGAGTTCCTGTTGCAAGGTAGCCTTAGTTCTGCAAAAGATTAAAAAAAAAAAAAAAAATGCATTTCCCTGTTGCAGGATTTGCTGTAGTTCTGTTCCCCATCTGATCTTTTTGAGTCTACCCTTGGAATATGGGATCTCACGCTTTCTCTCTCCCTTTGTGCCCTGTGCTCTGTTGTATTTCATGGGGACAGGATGCTGAAATAGCTGGTATGGTCATTCCTATCATCCCAGACAAGATGTTCTCAAGCAAGTGAATTTCTCTTCTATTGGAATGTGAAGAGCAAAGCTCTGTCATATACTGGTCCTTGTTGCAGCACTTGAGCTGATCTCCTTATCCTTTTGGTGTTAATTACAGAAAGCCTGTGAGCAGCACTGCGCTGAAGAAGGCTGTCTGTTACTTGTTAACCACCAACACAACCGAGCGTACCTGATGAATGGGGACACACTGTGTGTGAAAATTGTCACAGTTCCTTTACTGCTAGCGGGGTTGGAACAAAATGGGTATGATATCTAGAAATTTCGTGGTAGAGTGGTGTTAATTTCAAAGGAATGTATCTTCTCAAAAAAAAAAAGTGCTACGTGTAAATGAGCTCCTCAGCTCTAACAGCAGGACAGGCAGGTAAGTAACGTGTACTGAAAGCAGCACAGTAATTCAGAAATAATTCCTCACATAATTTATTTTCATTTAATGAAGGTGATCGTTTTTCCTCTTTTCACACCCAAAGGGAGTGGGGAGCAAACGTGTAGCAGTTTTTCAGCCTGCAGCCCAGCAAGGGCTGGGGACCTTGTAGCTGCCTGGTAGCAGCCCAGTAGCTGAGGACCTTGGGGCTGCTAGTGGTCCCTGCCTCAGGAGACCTCCTTATGCAGGTTTGGATAGTGCATGAAATACACTCTTGGTTCCCTCATAGCTGAAATGTTTTGTAGTGTCCCCCCGTTCCCATGTGTGTCCATGCCCTACAGTGGCTATATTTGGCACCTTTGTTGGCAATGCCCCTCTCAGACACAGATGCTGATGGAGCTGGGAATTGCAGCTCTCTTCTCAGCTCTGGGAATGGCCCTTTTCAAGGACGTTTTCAAGAGGCTTGCATTGCTGCTTGCTGTTTAAGCTAAGGAATAAATAGCACTTGACTATCTGCAGCTGCTTTTGGCACCTTTCACTGGTGCCAAAATTCCCCTGGTGATCTGCAAGAAAATAACCACTAAAATCACCTTCATTTTCTAAGAAATATTTCATAGTAAAATGTCATCTTTCATATAGGGCAGCTGAACTTTGTCAGTTCCACCGTTTATTCAACAGGGAGCATTCCGGTTTGCACTTTGCATTTCTAAGAATTGAATTTGCTAAATGGAGCACTTCCTCCTGACAGAGCAGGAATCATACGATGGTTTTTTTTCTTTTCTTTTCTTTCCTTTCCTTTTTTTTTTTTTTTTTGCAGCTGGAAGCCATTTTTCCTCGCATCATGGAGCTTCTGAGCCCTGTTGAATCTGGCTTAGTGTTTCTCAGGGGACAGAGGAAGGATTGCTAATAGCTTTCCGACCGGCTTTAGTCTCTCTATTCATAATGCAGACGCTCAGCAAAACAGGCTTGAGCAAGGTCCTTGTCCTGGATGACTTTTTGCTAAATAAGTTAGCAATGCTCTAGTTAGCAAAATCTTTTATCCCCTGTGGATGTGGTGTGAACTTAGTGGTATGCTACAGCATGGCCCTGACAAAGATAATATGAGGAATGCCAGGAGAGGAGCAGTGCGGCTGTGTCATGTTTGATGAAGCCAGTTCCTGATCTGCATACTTGGATGTGCCAGAGAGATAAAGTCATATCTCGACCTGTAACAGGAAAATTTCCTGAAGCATCGGAATATGATCAATCTTTTTCTCTCTTGCAGATGGACAGACAGAGCTTGCTGTTCCTCCTTAGAGAGCAAGGAGGACTGTTGTTCTACATGAAACGTATTAATTAGTAAGTATTTTCCTCAGTAATCTTGTCTCCTGAAAATATATATCCCAAGTTCTGTTGTACTTTTAAGATTTCCCCTATGGAAGTTGTACAGTGTAAGGTCATAGAAAAGAGAGTAGGGACTCATAAAAATTCATTGCAAATTTTGCAGACTTTTTTTTTTTCCTTTGCTTTTTTCTTATTCTGGTCATGCAGTGAAATGAACCTTTAGATGACAGATACCAGACTCTGACAGGTATCTCATCTTGTACTGAGGCCAGTGACGGCCTGAAAGAAATTGCTCATCTGAGTCAACAGCCGGCTTCTCCAACTGTGTTTGTCTTCAGTGCTAATTTCATTTCTTTGCTCAGTTTTCCTGGAATCTAAGCACACACACCAACCTGATAAATAACTGAAGCCAGCAATAAAGATAAAGGAAAGTTCTATACTCCAGAGGTCAAGTTAGCCTCCAAATCATATTTTCCCCTAATGGGGAACAAATTCAATGCTACCAAAAGTCAAATGAATGTTTAGTCACCTGAGAAAATACCATTATAAGCTGAAATGAGCTCTCATTACTTTTTCCATTTTATTTCTTTAATTTCTCCTTGGCTTCTGCTACAAAACTAAAAATAAGGCCATCAGTCACAGGGTGCTTTAGAGACACCTTCAGGGCAGGAGCAAGGTTCTAAGGTAAATCAGAGCTGGTGGCTCTTAAAATGGATGAAATCACTTGCATTAGGCCTTCAGGATGCATATTTTCATTTACTTGATTTATTCTTATTGTTTAAGTTGTAATGAGAAGTGACACAGATGCTGTGGAGCCAGACTGAGCAGAACTTTATAGTGAGTTGCCAGGGCAGAAAATCCCATTGCGAAGGAATCTGTTACTCAGACTTGTTTATGAGCATGGAGCAGCAGAAAACCAAATAGATGATTTAAAAACAAAGAGGAAAAAGGACAGACACGTGGTGAAATAGGCTGTTGGGCACTGTGTGCTGGACAGTCTGGTACAAAGGGCTGTGGAACTGGGCAGAGGGCAAATCAGACCTCTTTCTGCTGGTGAGGTGCCGATCTCTTTGTGGAAGTGAGGAGGATCCGTCAGGCTCTCATCCTTACTCTGCAGCCACCTATTTCCAGGTGAGCTGGTCCCTTCCTTCTCTGCCTAGCCTGGGAGATGCTAGTGACTTGTATCTTGATTACATCTCTGCCATCTTACATTCTTTGATTACGTGAATATAAAGGCTGCTTATTGTCTGAAGCAATATTTCTGATAGCCAAACCTGCTTGATTGAATCCCAAATGATAGTGGAATTTCGTTTTATATCATTGTGATGTCAGCAGATTATGTTTCCATGTCACTGTACCACAAGCATCCTAAAAAGAAGGTTGTGGGTAAGGCGTGATACCAGTAGCAAATGTTTGGTAGTTACACCGTCTTCTGGAGAACTGATGTAATCAACAGGGCCAAATACCTTTCTAATAGCATTTCCAAGACTTCTTGGTGCAATTTGTATATTGAAAACTTCATAAGCCACATTTATTCTGCACATCATTGAAGGAGAGTAAGGAATTGCTGTGGAGGTAGATGTTAACACAGACTGGGAAGAGTGGATAATCACTTATACATCCTACTGTATTGCTTACCTCAGGTGATGTCTGCTTCGTTACTTCGGATGCACGAGTCCTGATTGTTTATGGAAACTTTTCTTTTTAGTTCAGGTGCAGTTGTGGAGTTCATAAAGGGCAGCCATATAGCTCAGGTTTACATACAAAGGATGAAATGTTTTTTTGTTCTTTAGAGGTCACTTGTTTATTTTAGAAATCTCTTTGATTTGATGAAGTGATGAAACTTCATCTGGTTTATGTAGTAAAAAGGATAAGCTAAAGCTAAAAGGATGGCTACGTCAGCAATGCCTCTGAGTTTCTGTACTACAGAAACTTAAGTGTATTTTAACAGAGTTAAAATACCCTTAAAATACACAGAGTTAAAATACACTTAGAAATACCGTGATAAGATATTATCATGGAGCTGGCTTGTCGCTTAAACAAAAGCGTTTTTACCTATGTAAGATGGTGTCTGGGTTTTATAATAAATTACTTTGGACAAATTATTGAAGAATGTTTCTTGTGTATTTTGTGGCTTTTAGCTGCTTGTGTTGCCACTGCAGTGGGACATCACTTGGTGCAAATTTCTTGTAAATGTCAAATCCTCAAGAAACTCCTTGCCTCTACTTCCACAGAACCAAAATATTTTCAGAAGAATTTTTTGTATTTTTTTTGTCAGAATTATTACATGTGCAGTAAATAACACAGGCAAGACTACGACTCATTTAAATATTAAGATGAGCTGCCAGAGATACGACATTTTTAGCAGCGAATGTCTCCCTCTCATTGGTTTCCAGCTGACTCTCTGGGTGCTGGGATATCTCTTTTCTCATGGAGCTGCTGGATTTCTGTGTCAGTGATGTGTGTGGGAGATGAAGTCCAGCATCAGAGCCAGGCTAAAGAGGAGATGGAGGGCAGGAGGTATGCAGCTAATAGTTGTCATGGGCAGCTCCTCAGACATTTCACAGTCAGATAAATCAGCTGGTTAGGTTTTTTTGGAGTGAAGTTATCTGAATTTCTCTTCTTATGCATATCCCTTGCTCTTATTCAGAAGTCAGGAGGAATTCTGTTTTTTCTTATTTCCTCCTCGAAGGAGTCAAAGCCAGTTCTAGGAAAGCATGTCACTTTCTAGCAAAATATCCAGTTTTAAAGACAAATTATTTTCTGGAGGAGACAAGTTTGGTGATTTGCAATTGTAGTGATGTATGTACTCCAGGGATGAAGTTGGCCAACTGTCTATAAGAGCACACATGATATAACAGATGTAAATGGAGTATGTATTGTTTGGCAGTGGGAAAAGGAGCGCTGCTTTTGACGTAAAAACAATGAAGTGGATGAATCTGAGAGCTAATGTGGTATCTGGCCCTTCTCTGTATATAAATAAAGGAACAGTACAAAAAAGCTGCTTTTCAGATTTTAATAAGATGGTGTCTGACAAGACTGCATTTTGGTTTATAGTACAGTGTTTCATTTTTTTCTCAGTTCTTCAGAATCTTTTTAAATAATGCATATGTGCTTATATTTTGTGGTTGCAAACTTTTACATCACTAAGTCAACAAAATAAATAAAACAAAAAACAAAAAAGAAGAAGCTAAAAATTAATGTAAATTCCTGCTGGTAGATGAGTTCAGTAGCTCATCTGGTCAGTAAGATATTCCTGAACCAAAAGTTATGGTACTATGTATGACAATTCTGGGAGTTCTGGGTAACTGGGGATGTTTGGTTCCATGTCACCAATGCCATCAATAGCAGATGGCTTTGGAGTTATGCCCATGTCCTGATTTTGACTGAGATTGAATTCATCTGCAACACCTCAATCAGACTGGCCATGTCTTTTCCAGTAGTAAAGAAAGTAAAGCTGTTTTTCCTGTCCTTGTGTTTAATATAGCCCTTACCAATCCATATCCTACTGGATAACAAATCAAAGGAAATCCTTCCATCAAAGGAAATCCCTAGTGCTCACTCAGCAGCCCTCCCTGGCATTACAGTTTGCTGTACTGTTTGTAGGATGGCATTATGTTCTGGGCTCTTATTCTGGTCGTGCCTTGCTGCTAGATTTCCTGGGAACTGAAGACAAGAGGAAGTTTAAAAGCTGCTGGTTTAATTTTTGTCTCGGCATCTGTGTATGGAGTGAACAAGTATGCACTGCAGCAGTGCTGTGTCTCTCTCAAGTCCATGTTTAGTTGTTTGCTGAAAAATAAATAACGTTTGCAGTGGTCAGCGAATGGTCTGCTTAAACCTCTTTTTACTTTGGGCTCCTGTGCACTCCCGTGTGTGTATACATATTTTTTTTGCTAATAGGCAGCAGTATAAGCAACCCAGCAAGTAAAAATTGCATCCCTGAAAAGTCTTATTGCTGTCCGGAGTGGCAAAGAGTATTTAGAGCTGAAAGCTCAGAGCTGGCCTGTGCTGCTTTTTTAAGTGATTGGAATGGAGTAGAAAATGTCATCACTTCTATGTTTAAGTGAGTGAAAATGTGCAAATCGTGGACTATGCAGCAGTGTTTTAGCTCTCTCGAGGACTAAAAAGGGAAAAAAAGCTCGCAGAAGTTATTTGTTGATTTAAACTCACTGTTGCTCAGCCTGAGGTTCTCGTGCAGGTACATTTGCAGTAAACAGCTCAGAGGAAAGGTTGCTTAGAGTGGAACTTCTTGGTGGGAAGAATTATGGATTTATAATATTTAACACCATTAATTATACCTGATATTTACTTAATGTTTCACATGGTAAATTTGAACTGATTTATGCAACAATTAAGATCTCTTGTACATCTTAAACACCAAGAATAAAAGCAGGATGGTGAAGCTGTATGCCTCACATCACCCATTAAGTCAATGGCAGTGCTAAGGTGAGTCCCATAGTCTCCAGATGCACCCAAGGCCTTGTTCCTCCTCTATTTTACTGCTCATGAACATTTGTTCAGCTGAAATTTAATAAGAATTCAAGTTCTCATGAAAAATTATGTATCTGTGTCTGATGAAGAAGAAGATGGGCAAAAAGTGACAAAATTATTTTAGGAATAATCAGATATGTTTTAATTGGCTGAGAGGATCAATACGCAATAGTCAGTGAGAAGCAGAACTAAAGATGGGGTACCAAACAGCTGCCAACAGTTTGTTCTCTCTGGTGACCTTGCAAGCAGTCTGTGGTGTTGGATACATTAAGCATCAGCTGTGAATAATGAAGAAACTTATAAAAATTAATCTGGTTTTTTTTTTTTGAGGGGACAGTTAATGAGCTGAAGAACTAAATTTATTGAACAAGTCATTGATTTAATAAACAGTTTCACTTGGGAGTATGGTGCCTCTGTTGCAAATCATAGCTAGAAGTGTGCAGAAAGGGGCCTGTGTCTTTCAGGTAGGTGTATACTGCATGTTTTATGGCAGATTTCTGGCCTTTCTCAAAAAAATTGTGAAC